TCAAAAAATATCACTACACAATACCTCTTTGTTGCTCTTAAACGTCTCATCGGATAAGCGGATACATAACATTCAGCCAGAATTCAACAAAAGGCATATATAGTTACTTTGGAGTTAGTGATACACTAATAGTCATACACAAATTAAACGCATACCCGTGAGTAGACACATTTAAAAGATGTGATACCAAATTAACATGAAAATAAAGTAAATTTCAAACGGTTGCAAATAGTTGTACACAAACTGTGTATTGCACGTAAGTAGACACAATTAAAATATGTGATATTAACGAGAAAATAAATTACATTACGGCAATCGGTCACATCTTAAACAAGAGATCCCAGAGGGATCTTGGCGCCCACCTTTGTACCATCTTCATTAGTTTTGTGTCAGTTTGATCTTTTCTCTTCTTTCCTCTAATCTGTTTGATCGAGTCACGTTAACAGTAAATGCACTTTGAGGTAACTTTTGATCTAAACTTTGTACTGATGTGTATGAAAGCCAACCTTCAAAGTGAGTTTGTCATTTCACATATTTACTATTATAGTACTTAATGTGAAAGAAATATAATCGATCATTGCAATATGAGAAAGATCTGTTTAGTTCTTCTTTTAATACATTTTGTTTTTATGATCAGTCACAAAATATAACATGCACAACGAGGGATCAAGGGGAATATGAGAAAGATCTGTTTAGTTCTTCTTTTAATACATTTTGTTGTTATGATCAGTCATAAAATATAACATGCACAACGAGGGATCAAGGGGAACCTACATATAAAATTTGAGAAAGATCCCTCTCGTACTTCCCGAAAAATAGCGATAACAAAACTTTCATTATCAAAATCATAGATGGCTGCCTGTCGGCCATGTTGTTTATCCGATCAGTCTCGAAAATTGCCCTGCACAACTAGGACCAAGGGGAACCTACATATACAATTTCAGAAAGATCCCCCTAGTTCCTCCGGAGAAATAGCGGTAACAAACCTACACTATCAAAATCCAAGATGGCTGCCTGTCGGCCATGTTGTTTATCCGATCAGTCTCAAAAGTTGCCCTGCACAGATAATGACCAAGGGAAACCTACATATAAAATTTGAGAAGGATCCCTCTAGTTCTTTCGGAGAAATACTAGTTCTTCCGGAGAAATAGCGGTAATAAATTTACACTATCAAAATCCAAGATGGTTGCCTGTCGGCCATGTTGTTTATCCGATCAGTCTCAAAAGTTGCCCTGCACAGATTATGACCATGGGGAACCTACATATAAAATTAAAAAAAAAGATCCCTCAAGGACTTCTGGAGAAATAGCGATAACAAACTTTCACTATCAAAATACAAGATGGCTGCCTGTCGGCCATGTTGTTTATCCGATCAGTCTCAAAAGTTGCAATGCACAGCTAAGGACCAGGGGAAACCTACATGTACAATTTGAGAAAGATCCCTTTGATACTTCTTGAGAAATTCCAAAAACAAGAATTGTTTAAGGACGGACGACGGACGACGGAGAGCGGACGGCGGACGACGGACCACGGACGCAGGGTGATTTGAATAGCCCACCATCAGATGATGGTGGGCTAAAAACAGATTCATGTTTCCGCTGTAGTTTTATGAATTGAAACCTTGTTTTCAGTCTGCATGACGAAAGATCGATTATCCATTTTTTAAAAGAAAACTACTTTTTCAACTATTACGAAAAATTGTAGAAATGAAATTAACAAGCATATACCACCAACAGCAAAGGGGAAAGTCCGGGATTTTAACCATGGACTTCGAACCATAATACAGTCACTTTACCCAACTTAGCTGCTTGATTAATGGTTCTTCCTTGGCACTGCCCCGGCCTTATTGTTATGGTAAAAAAAAGCAATGGGAGGCTACTGGATGTATGCAAAACTACAGTTGAATTATCTGGTATTTTGCCTGCACTGAAACCGGGTGTTATACCTGTTGAATTCCGTCTACACTGAAGATGTTCTTTTTATATTCTGAACGTATCGGCATGGAACTCCGTTCAAAACTGGAACCAAAATTGCAATATTTGTGTAGGGGGCAGTGCCTTTAGTTGGATAACGCATTTACAGTGACTACAGAATCTGTAATGTATAAAAGATACATAGTATTGAATTAATGTAGACATTTCTGTGAAATGTGGGGGTATGGCGTCCTGCTGCATTTTAATTTAAACATAGGATATATAGATAGCGTATCGGTTGATTGAACGCAGGTATATTCGGATCTATTCAGACGGAACGTAGTCGACTTTAATGTTACCTTAAATTGCAATGGGACAAGTAATGTCATTCCTCATTCACCTCCGCCATTGTTGTTTTAATGAGTTGAAGGTTTACAAGGTTAACAAGGACAAAGTGAGCTTATGCCAAAACGCTACTAGTCCTTGACGGCTCAGAGTATTTTGACCAGATTTTGTCCGGAGCATTATTGGCCAAAGTGTTTTCAATTTTGTATAAATGGAGGATGTGCCCCCACTCATCCCTTTGGGGCAGAGGGACGGACCTGAATAAGGGGGGAAATAGGTAAATCTTCAAAACAAAATTCTTCTCAACCAATAAAAGGATTTCGACAAAATTTGTTTCACAGAATCTTTGGAAGGGAGCCCAAAATTTGTATAAGCGGAGAGTGTGCAGTTGGGTGTTGCCTTTTAGGGGAAATAGAGGTAAATCAATAA